AAAAAAAAAAAAAAAAAAGAAAGAAATTCCAGCTGAAACACTGAAGGTCACGGCCAACAAGGAGATGGCATTTAAGATGACCTAAAAAGATAACAAGGTTATGATGGGGAGGGCAAGAGAGGTATGCTGAGAGGAGAGCACCACTTGCACGAAGGCAGCAGACCACATGGAAGAACCAGTTGGCATGGAGGCCGAGAGGCTGCAGCACTGGGTAAGACCTGGGAAGGGCTGGTCAACCCAGGGCCCAGAAGGGCCTTTAGCTTCAGATGATCACAGAATGTGCAGAGTTTGCTACAGAGTCTGATTCCAACTACAGAAAAATGAGCAAAAACTACACAGTAAGATGCAAAAGGAAAATAATCAGGTTCCATTTTGAGATTCACCACTGATACATTTTTCCTTTTCTAATACCATAAACATGACATATGAAACGAAGGATCCATCTGGTAGGGTATGCCTCTCTCAGAGAGGGAATTGTTTTGCCACTGTACCTGAAACAGAACGTCTGCCAACACATAAGGAGAAAGCCATCTCCTCTTCCAAACAGTGAGCTCTGCTCCCACCCAGGACTCACCATCACTGTCTCCCATGGACAAGCAGTGTGTGTTATAGCCACAGACTCAGGCTTGTGGAAATAGCTGCCCTGAGTCCAAGCTGCAGCAGCCCAAGAGACCCTGCCACAACGGTGCCACACCTGCACCTGATCCTGAGTGAAGATGGTGCGTGCATGCCAGAGTCACTCTACTTGGCGACAGTGGAGGGTTTCAGGCACCAGGAGACTGAGCAGCTCTCCTGCCAGCTTGGCCCCGCATTGTGCAAGGGGTGGATGGGTATGTGTGTGTGTGGGGTGTCCTGAGCTGTTCCAGGGCATTCTGGGTGCCACATGGGGCACTTCCTGGTGCCCTGGCACACACCATGCTCTGTCGTCCACCACTGCATGGGCTCTGTGACCCTTTCAGTCCTGGGACTTACCGTCCATGCAGCAATGCTTCCTGAGCACATACTAAGTACCAGCATGGTGTGAGGCACTCATCTTATGTAACCTTCACGACAACCCTAGAAACAGGTACTATCCGACAGATGGGGAAGCTGAGGCACAGGGCAGTTAAGTGACTTGCACCAGGTCGCACAGTGGATAACTGGAAGAGCTCCTGCGCCAACCCCAGCAGCGCTGCTCAAGAGCAAGGTCTGCTCAGGCGAAGGCTGGTGCCGTTGGGGCCTCAGCGTGGGTGCACGCAAAGCAGGGCCACTGAGGCGCAAGGCTGCCCCCACACAGCTCCAGTGAGGAGTCCGCTTGGCTCGCTGCAGCTCCTCAAGCCCACAGACAGGATGCAGGGACCACAGATGACAACCCTGGGTGGGATGAGCAGCCTCACTCCGCGGAGGAAGCCAGGCCCCACGCCAGGTCCTACCTGGAAGTTCTCAGCAATGCGTCCTGGTGTCACAGACTTGGGGATCACCACCAAATTCCTCTGTATGGGGAACCGGATCAGGACCTGTAAACCCAGAAATGACCCGTGTGCACAGACACCAGGCCCTGTGTCATCACCTCACTCACACCACCACCCGCAGGGACATGCTAGAATGTGACAGGAGAAGAGAGATCCAGGTCACCCGGGTCACCCCAGCAGGTGGGAACACATCCAGGCCCAGACCTCATTCCAGAATCTGGCTCTTGGCCACTGCGCCATGCGTGCCCGCATCTCCAGGCACATTAAGAGACTGCAGTGACACCTCCTCCTTTCAGGGGATGCCAACTACCCCTGGGAGAAGCGCACCTTTCCACATGGCTGACCTAAGAGTTCTTGTACTTGTAGACGAGTGCCCACATAAATAAGCAAGTGCTGACCCTCGTGGCAACAATACAGCAGCGGGCAGATACTATTATGGTAAGACCATGCACAGGGCCTTATCACATCCTGATCTCCGCCCTTCCTACTCCAAACCACTCCTCCCAGGTCACCTCTCCCCCGTGGCCGATGGGGACCGCTCAGAACACAGGGCATTCTGGGCACAGCCACAAGCACTGGAAATACTGTACCTGGGCTGTGGTTTTATTATGCTTGGCTGCGATCGCCTTGATCCTGGGGTCCTCCAGCAGGGAAGGGTCTTCGGGCTTGGCCCTGAGGACAGAAGGATGGTCAGGGTGAACAGCCATCCCCACCCACGGAGGCCCCAACCCCAGCCCAATCCTCCACTGGCCTCAGAGGGCGCTGCCATCTCCTCCTGGCTCAAAGGTGAGTTAGAACTCCCAACCCTCTGGAAAGACATCTTGCCACTCAAACTCCAGCCCTTCCAGGAAACCAACCAGGAGCCCAGGGGAGCTCTGTAGTCACCCAGAATGTTTCTTTCTAGTCACTTCCCATCTTACCGCGTGAAAAGAGAACACAAGCCCGTGGACACTTACCAGGGCCTGTCAGGAGAGCCCAGGGGGCTGTAGGCAGTCACCACAATGCCCTTGGCCTGGCAGTACTGGATCAGCTTCTCCTGAGTCAGGTACGGGTGGCACTCAATCTACAAAGGCAAGCAGGAGGGCTGCCAGGACGGGTGAGGGATCCCCCTACCACAAAGGAGATTATACCCAACATCCTCCTTCCCAGATGAGCTGGAACGACTGTCCCTACCTCCTGGCCAGTGTCCTCAGCATCAGAAGCAATAGCCTCGTTAGGGACATTCTATGGCCTGGGCCCCACGGGCTCTTCCTGGCTTTGGCCATCTCTCACCCGTCTCAGGTCTGAGACTCAATGGCCGGCCACACATCTGCCAGTCTCCATGTCACCACAAGCCAGGCTCCCATGCCCTCCCCTGCAGGTCCCCACTCAGGACTCTGCCCATGCCCAGGGGCCACTCTGGCACTCGGTGCGTGATGTGGGCAGGAAGCCCTGCCAGTGTCAGGCATGGATCCTGCTGACACTGGTTTCCCTGGGGAGCTCACCTGGTTGACAACAGGCTTATGCTTTAAGCCGGGTTTGTTCAAGATTCGCTCTATCTGGAGATGGTTGAAGTTGGAGATGCCAATGGCTTTCACCAGCCCTTCATCCACCAGCTCCTCCATGACCTAAGAGGACGCAGAATCCACTCGTTCAGTACCAGCTCTGACCTCTTAGCAGGCCCCACCCTCCCACCTCAGGGCTGCTGATTTCAGAAGATGAAAGTCAAGCTGGCCTTAACATGACAGGAAGAGCAAAAGACATAGGATGACAGACGCAGTGAGAAATGGCAGTGCAGACTGCCCCCGGAAAGCAGACCCAGCAGCAAGGACCAGGGTCAGCCGGGCCATCTTACCGCCCACACGTCCAGGAAATCGGTGTTGCTAGGCACCACACTGCCCGACTCGTCCAATGGGAACAACTCCTTTCCAGGCTGCCACGACAAGTAAAACCATCAGTGACAGCCCCTCACAGACCTGCTGGGGACGCTGGCATCTTAAAAACATCACACCCCAAAACTGGCTAGGGCCGATTGTGGGCAGGACAAAAAGAAGACAGGCAGGCAACCCCCGAGGCCGACACTTCATTAAATAGGCTGGAGCTGAGGGACTGTGGGCTGGAGATACAGACACGGCTTAGGTACTCAGATCAGCCCTGCCGTGGACGGTAGCATGTGGGGAGAGGAAGGATAAGACAGGACTCGTGGGCCCAAGGCCTGGCAGGGTCACTGGCCTGTGAAGCCAAGTCTTGCAGGCTTAAACTGGAAAACAAAGATCAAAGTCAAGTCCCCAGGCCCCGAGACTCCACCATGCAATGAGAGAGTGGTGGGACAAAAACTACCTGCTTCCAGCCTGGCCACAGCAAAAAGAGGCGAAAGGTGTCAAAACATGCCAAGGTTGTACTCAGGCCATGGGGACCCACTTGAGCCTGGCGCCCTACCTTGAAGCCCGGTGGCCAGTGGATCAGGTAGAGGTCCAGGTAGTCCAGCTGCAGGTCGCTGAGTGTCTTCCGGCAGGCGCCCTTCACCAGGCCCTTCTCGTGGTACGTGCACCACAGCTGGAGCGAGAGGGCACATTCCATCACTGCCACGTGCAGCTCCAGGACAGCGCCCTCACCCACCACCCACACCCAGCGAAAGGACATGGTCCGTCACCACTGCTCATGGCTCCAGGATGGCACCCTCGCCCCACTGCCCATGCCCAGACAGAGGGCACAGTCTGTCACTATGCATGGCTCCAGTACAGCACCCTCACCCCACCACACATATCTCATGAAACTGTATGTCCTGTCACTACGCACAGCTCCAGGATGGTGCCCTCACCCTACTGCCCACGTGCTTCACCAAGGCGCTACAAGAGATGGGCGGGGGAGTTCCTATTTCACCATAGATCCTAACTTTCCAAAGGAAGGAGGATGAACTGGCCAAGACAGCCTCTCCCAGGACTAACAGAAAGCGCAGAACAGAATGGACAGCAACTCCCCAGCCAGCCCTAAATGGGGTTCCTAGGGCAACCTTCCCACAGGCTGGCCCTGGTGGAGCCAGCCTCACCCCCAACCCAGAGTCCTTGTGGCCAAGAGCCTCCAGGTAAAAGACAGTCCCCAGGAGTGGAGATCTCATCTGTAGATGAGAACTGAGTTCCATCCTTGAAGATGACCGCTGGAGAGGGAGAGCCAACCCGCGACCTCGCCTCAGCAGCATGGGCTCCTGGCAAGGCACCCAGATGGAAAGACGGTCCAACAGGGAGCTATGGACGGGCAGGCTCTGGAGCTCTCCACAGCCTTGAGCAACACATTGCCCCTGGAGGCAATGACTGTACAGTAAGTCCCCTACATACAATCCTTCAAGTTGTGAACTTTCAAAGATGAGAACATGCATTCATGAGCCCAGTCACAAAAGTTAATTCACGTGTCTCGTGTAAACTGTCACATGAGTGCGAGGTACTGCATTGTTAAGATTTAAAATGTTTTCTTTATTTTGTGTTTATTTGTTTCTCAAGTGTCATTTGTGTGAAAAGTATTATAAACCTAGTACAGTACTGTATAACTGATTGTGTTAGTCGGGTGCCTAGGTTAACTTTGCTGGACTTATGACCAAGTTGGACCTACGAACGAGCTCTCAGAATGGACCTTATTCATATGTAGGGGACTCACTGCAGCTGTATCCAGAGTGTGGACTTGTGGGTCCCAAGCTGAGGCCCCAAGCTGAGGCCTGTGGGTAATGGGATAGGGCCCTCTATTCCCCCAGGGTGGAACCTTGCTGATGTGAGCTGAGACCCATGGGTAATGGGAATGGGGCCTCCCACTCCCCCAGGGCACACCTTGCTGACGATGAACAGCTCCTCGCGCTTCACCACCTGCTCCCGGATCTTCTGCTGGAGGGCCACCCCTACCTCGGTCTCGTTCTGGTACACGTGGGCACAGTCGATGTGGCGGTAGCCAAGGTCGATCGCTGCCTTCACAGCTTCGGTCACCTGGCCTGGGGGGGACTGAAAGGAAAAGGATCGTGGGCCATAGAGGCAAAACCAATGCAGGATGTAGTATGTACACGGCAGGGGGCAGCACCAACCACAGACCCCAGTGGTGCACCCATCCTGCGGGGTCAGCAGGCAGGCCAGGTGTTCCCCTGAAGCAGCCTGTAAACCATCAGTCCTCAGACCCAGGGGAAGCGGGCAGTGTCACTTCAGGAGACCCCAACAGCCATTTGCTGGCCGCACAGAGCACTGTTAAAGGCTGAGCTGAGGCCATCCCATTTCTTGCTCCTTCACATCCTCTGCTGAACAAACCACTGTGTTAAAAATGTCCCCACTACTTGCATCCTGAGATGAGAAGGGAGACCATTACTTACAAACAGCCTCAAACATTTCATGACAGCTCTGATTCCCATGTGGTTCTTGCATTCAGCCAGTCAATGCTGCCCTACATTCTCCACTCATGCATGGAGAATGTAGGGCAGCATTGACTGGCTGAATGCAAGAACCACATGTGCAACCACTTGTCTAAGCCATTCTGGGTAACTCTCATGGAGTCAAGAACGCTACTGGTGCTAATTCAAGGCCTGTGTGCCCATTCTCACTGTATGAGGACATACTGAGGGACGTGGGAGACAGCCTCACAGGGACACTAGCAGAAATGGGCTGAAAGGGAATGCAGAGGGAAATCACAGAAGACTGCCACGTGGTTTGTGGTCGGCCATGGAAGATGGCCACGTGGCTTGTAGTAGCCCAGCAAGAGACTGCACGGGTGTCTTGTGCCCACATGGATGGCTATCTGAACTCAGCTGCTGAGGAGGAAGTGCCACCCGAGCACCCAGACATGTTCCCACCTCACATTCTTCCTGCTCAGATCACAGAGCGGAACAATGAACATGCGTGTGAACCGGCCATTCCCTTGGAAAGTTGGGGTAGAAAAAGTGAAGAAGAAAGCTCCCTGGCCACCAGCAGCTGCAGACATCTGTTCTGACACAGGTTGTTCTGGACAGGCAGGGGAAGATACGGCCCAGTGGGACCAGCCATGACAGAGCCTGTGAGCAGCTAAGTCCACCCCACTCTAAGGGGCCAGGGGACAGGTGGGGCGCCAGCCTCAGGGGTGAGTTAAGGAGGCCACTTCCTACTTCCCAGATGCCTTGGAAGCACACCTGCACCTTTTCTACACAGCATGGTGAAGGAACAAAGCAGAGAAGGGCTCTCAGCACACCCAGAGGTGAGGAAGACCCAACACAGGCTCTCATGGGTATCCCGGCACAGCCATTGCTGAGGTGAGCAGGGAGGGTAGAGCACACCCTGCCCTACAGAGGGGGCTGTGGGGCCACTGTCAGCCTAGCACACAGTGGGGCCACTGCCTGACCAGCATACAGTGAAGTCCTTTGGGCTCAATGGCACATTGGTATGTTTTTCTCTCAGAGCTGCTGCTGCAGCATGCCCTCACTGGGTGCGCCTGGGTCCTGTAGCCCCCAGGCCTGGACAGAAGGATAGCACATTACCCAGGCCTGACGTAGCCACATACCACCAGCCACAGTGACCGGTGCAGGGACAGGAACACGACCCAAGCCAGGCCACGAGACTCCATCTGTGGGCTTGTGTGGCACTGCAAGGAAAAGCCCTGGCTCTGCAGGGTCACTGTGCACAGAGGATGTGAGCCTGGGACTACCGCAGGGAAACTGGGAGACCACGTCCCCAGGCAACCCCTATTGGATCCTGGACACCAAAGCCAGCAACTGCTGCTCAGGAGGGTGAACTATCACTGCAAACACATTTTGCTGTTGCTTTTTTTAATTAAAATTAAGTTGGTTTTGAGTTTCATGGAACCAAAAGTGTGCAGCCTAGAATGATCAAGGTGGCCCAATGGTTGACAGAAAATGGAAGGAAAGTTCATGTGATAGTTTCATAATGAGTCAAAGACAGGAATGACGACAAAAGGGCATGAAGACCCTGCTCCTGACCTTGCTGGAAGTTGGCCCAAGTGCTTTTGAGGGGAAAATGGGCTGAAAGGGAATGACCCTCTGCAACAAAGACGCACCAGAGTCCACACTACGCAAATTCAACATTAATCATTTCAGTGCAGAGCCTTCCCCTGTGGAAACGAATCTCCCTTATTAATAATGAAGCAGCCAACTCAAGGTGCAGTGAGAAGACATCCAGTGACACATGACCACACCCCATCCCACACTAACAGAGAAGGGTGGGGCCAGCGGAGACTTGCAAAAGGTTAACAGGGAGACAAACTTCTATCGCAGAAACCCAGTTCACTAAATACCCAAACTACTAAGAATTGTACAGGCCCTCCATGTTTCTAAACCGATCCTGCCACCACTTTTCTGTCACTTAGAAAAACCATCACCTTGGGTCAGAAGTGCAAGAATACGAGAGCAGTGTGCTAGTGGTAATCCTGGGGCAAGGAAATAAAAACATGACTTTTGATGTAAACTTGGATTTAATAAAGAAGCAGGACCATCAGCCTCTACAGCCTTAAAGTGTATCCTACCACAGAAAAGCTGTTCCTAAACTCAACTTGCATTCAAGAGAGCTTGCCTTATGTCGATTTCATTGTTGGTTTTGTTTAAATACTAGTGGTGCTACAATAATGTTTTCCACCACTTTTTATCATAAGTGTGAATCATTGCAACCACACGCAAAGTGAACAGGCATTTGTGAAGTGGTTTCTCAAAATGTATTCTGAGATCCAATTACTCTACTTTATATCTTCTGGAAGAGGAGGTGGCAAACACTTTTCTAAGGGGCCAGAAAAAATATTTTAGGCTCTATGGGCCAAACGGTCTGTCTCAATTGCTCACTTCTGCCACTGGAGAACAAAAGCTGCCACAGGCGACATGTAAAGGAATGGGACCTCAGACTGGTGGTGAACCTGCTACCAGGATACACCTGGCAGCTCTGCATGAACAAGGCTTCAAATCTGCCCTCTCACAAGACTGACGGAGCAAGCATCGGGAACGCCCAGGAACGATCACAGTGTGCTGCCTCTTTCGTATACACCCCCAGTCAACAGAAAGTACACATCCACTGTCTGATGCAGATAAATTGCCTCACTTGGCTCAGATGTCCAATGCATTCTACTGTTTAATAACAGAAACCACAGTTTCCAATCATAAAGACTGACCACAGAGGAACGATCCTTCCCACCGCTTATCTCTCTGAAAACACAGTCAATCTGGCTAATGTTTTACGTCAAAGCTTGGAATCAGGTTTGGCAACAGGGACATGCTTCCTCCTGTTCTGCTTTCATCAGACCACCCTAAATTCTGTCTTGCTGTCTTCACTTGGCTGCAATATGGATAGACTAGGACTGGCCCTGCAGAGAGGTCCTCATTTAAATGCCTTTGATCTTGAAGAAGGGGAGGCAGAGGCTGCAGGGAGGCCAAGCTCTCCTGTGAGACTCCCAGTGCCCACATGGGGAAAGGGGAGCAAGTCTTTCTTGGCACATTTTCTTCCACCTCATGCATTCCCAAGGGGGGTGCTACTGCCCCAAAGAGGGAAAAAAATGGTTCGGGGTGGGGGAAAAAAATCTTATCCTCTGGCATGGCTTGTGACCCTCTAAAGGGCTACAGACATAAACGGATATATGATATTACAATGTGATAATAAAATTCTATTGAGGGACAATTAGGGAAAAAAAAACCTCAAAAGACTCCTAAGCAGAGATTTCTCAAAGAACCCAACATTGAACCCCTATTCGATCCAGCAATCCTATTACTGGGGATCTACCCAAAAGAAGTTTCAAAAAGATGCCTGCATGCGTGTGTTGAGCACAGAACTATTCACAATAGCAGACGTGGAACCAACCTAAGTGTCCTCAACAGGTGACTGGATAAAGAAAATGTGGGATAGATGCCAGGGAACACTACTCAGCCTAAAAAAGAATGGAATCCTGTCTTTTGCAGTAGCATGGAACTGGATGCCATTCCCTCTAGTGAAACAACTCAGAAGCAGAAATTCAGATACCACATGTCCTCACTTATAAGTGAGAGCTAAATAATGTGTACACCTGGACACAAAGCGGAGTGATAGACAGCGGAGATGTGCAAGGGTGAGGGATGAGAATGATCTGTTGGGTACAGTGTTCACCACTCGGGTGACGGCGACACCGAAGGTCCAGACTTCACCGCTACACAATACCTATACCCACAGAATGAAAGTGCACTGAAGACCCCTTGCTGGGGTGGGGGCGTGATACTGGGAAGCAGACTGAGAAATGCTATTGTCCCTCCATCCTCGGGAGTATCCAGCACACACGTGTTACAATGACCATCTGCTACAATGATTTTCCAACTAGGTCAAAAACATGACCAACTGACAGGACACCTGCCGCAGCAGAGATCACCTCTGGTCTAAAGGTTTCCTGGGCTCGTTGTCTGTCCAACCGGGAGAAACCCTGCCTAAACCACATGGGGTACGGGACAGAGGTGGCCTCCCACTCGCCTGAGGTCCTCCCCTCTGAAGAGAAAAGGGCATTCAGGGACCTTCAATGGACAGTCGGCAGACTCCCAGAGCCCTGCAGAGGGTCTGCGCAGCACCACACAGCCACTGTGACATGGAGAGGCCACAAGGACACAGACCTGCATCCACCGAGAGCCTCCTCCAGTGGCCACGAAGACAAGCACCTGACCACGCATCTGTGAAAGAATATGCATGCACACACAGGGGAAAAGTGTTGTCTTTAGCAAAAAGGAAATCCACTCTATGTCCATACTTGAACATTCGTACCCTCTTTCCTGACTGGCACACCTCCACACAACTCTATATCAACCTCAACTCTCACGCCCAGAAACACAAGTGTGCATTTCCCCTGTCTAGCTATCGCTAAAGTCATTTTACTTCTGTACACTAATTCAACACGTAACTTCCGGAAACCCACCAATGTATTCACCTGTTCTGTGAGAAGAACTAGAAACAGCTGTGAGCAAGGCAGATGCTCTCCTAGTTCTAAATGAACTTTCATCTGCTGGAATGCAGATTTTCCGTTATTTTAAATATACAGCTTTTTGGAGTGGTACTGAGTGTTGCAGCATATGACTTAAAACCTTTGTCAATGTTTACTCCTTATTTACCCTTGAGTTGTGATTTTCAAATACGGGTCACAACATTAATTTCTCAAGTTACGACCATTATTTTTGGGAAAGTGGAACAGAAAAAACACAACAGAAAGCAGCCCACATGGTAAAGGTTAAGCACTGTTTTGGTGAAGCTTACTCAATTTGTGTGTGTGTCTGGGTGCTCCATCACAATATGGACTCTAGTTGTAACTGCCAAGAAAGCACCTTTGCACATTCCTTCCTGCACCTGACAGATTTTAACTTGGTGTCATGGTCCTAACTCAATGACATCCTTTGAGTCACACCAGACTTTTTGGAGGAAACAGATGATGTACTCCGATCATGAAACACTTTCATTGTGAGACACACCTCCGGCCCTTTTCTTATTGACCTTGTATTTACTAATTTTCAACAGCGGGTTTTAGGGTAAAGGTGCGCCTCCTCCTCCTTCAGACCATCCCGCAGCGCACCCCGTCCTTTCTGTTCCCTTCCTTGTCTGTAAGTATCCGATGCCCAGGGCCATGTTCAAGGTTCCTTTAAGAGAAAAACGCGGGTCACAGCTGTGGGAACGCAACACACAAGACCCCCGAAGCCGACCCTTAACACCACCCTTCCGGGTTTCGCAATTTTCAGATAGTCAGGCCATCGTTTCCACTTTCCATAACCTACGAGGACACGTCGTGTCCGTTTGTCACTTTCATCGGGCGAGGCACTTACAGGGCAGTGGGGCTTTCCGGGCGGGGGACAGTCATCCCCGCGGCGGGGGCCCAGTTTCCCCAGGGGTCCAGCCTGGGACGCCCAGAGGCGCAGCGGATCCAACCGCGGGCTCCCTGCGGGCGTGACTGGGCCGCCGGCTCCGGGGGAGCGCGATGGA